GGTGGGCACGCAGCGGTACGAGCCGCATTAATGGTAACGGAAGAAAAATAAATAACTATAATAATAATAAAGAGGCGTTCTATTGGGTGTAGAACAATAGGTGCCTGCCATGCAATGCATGGAGGCAGTGACTGCTCTCCTTATGCATTGCTATGGGCAGGCCCCAATAATAAAGAGGCGTTCTATTGGGTGTAGAACAATAGGTGCCTGCCATGCAATGCATGGAGGCAGTGTCTGACCTGCTTTGCAGGTCAGTCACTGCTCTCCCTATGCATTGCTGGCAGGCCCCAATAACAGCTGTGTCCAATTAAATGTTTGAGTTTATTATCTTCCCAAATCATTGGTGTTATGGGAAGATGTGAGACATTAGAGAGGTCAGCATAACTAACTAAAAGTTATGCTGACGTCACTATAAACAACAGTCTTTCTGTGTATTCCCTATAGAGTAAATCAACCTGAGGCAATCTTTTGGAAAACGTCCACATTAGCTAACATTTCCCAATCCAGAACGTTCTGCGATAGAAGAAATGTCCTAAGATTTACGTTTCCTCCTTGATTTACAGTAACAGCCTGATGGAATAGCTGCCATACTTCTGGAAAAGTTTCAACTAGCTTAATTTTTAAACACTAATACTGAAAATAGCTGAGTCTTCTTCATGCAATAACAACCTCCACACTGAAGAGTGTTTGGTGTGCCTAGACACACTGATAGGACAGAATAAAAAGACATTTCAAGAATAATATTATCCAATTCATCTCACCAAACACCTTTTGAATACAATTTGTATTACTGTTTTTGTTTGTTTGTTTGTTTTTTGTTTGTTTTTTATCACAACAATGTAATAAAATTATTATTAATGGAGTACTTTTTATCAAGTAAAACATTTTTGTCACTTTTCCCTAAAAATTAATCTACAATTAAAAAACAACCATTGAGCAGTAAAGAACTCATTTTCTCACCATCTGGTAATAATCAGCAGCGCTGCATGAAAACAAACCACTTTAAACACACAGAGCAACCTCACAACTTCCAAACACAGTTCATGTGTTGAACTTCCCTGTTGATGCTGCGCTTCACTGTAACGTCACAACAGCAAAACTCAACCCTTGGTCCAAGTGAGCAGCACTTTACTGTCTGCCCACCGTCCTGATTTTGGACCATTACGGGCGGGGGAGCGCCCGGCTACGCACTGACACTGGACGACTCACCTGCAGTGTCTCAATCTGCTTTCTGATGCTGTTGTTAGATGGCATCTGGAGCGAGTCAACGTGAGAAAAACATAAAATGACAGGAAACAAAAGAATGGTTTGGGGAGGGACACATGCAAGTTATTAACAAAAACAGAACAAATATGACAAGAAAAGCACAAACTAGCTTAACAGTAAAGTTGAAAAAAAAAAAAAAAAAAGCTATGATGAACTGTTCGACATGCGGCTTGTGAATCAAGTTGCATGTTAGTATTACATACGTGACAGTCCATTCAGGTTAAATTAAATGTAGAGCACATATATTAGTGTATAATTGCAAACAAAACTAAGGTGTGTGCTGCAGTTTGGAAATCAGACAAGGAGACGAAGAGAAAACAGACAAGAGAGACTTCAAAAGATGACAAGAAACAGTCAAATTTACTGCAGCAGTGCCTGCCTCTTCCAGCACACACACAAGCAGCCACGCCCGATTTAGTGTTTGATTCAAACCCACGTCCAGCATGCTCAAAGTGTCCCATTTTAACCCTGTGGGTGCCATGCTTTATGGATCACAAACAAATGCAATAATTTGTTAAAAGAGGGATGTTTCCAAACTGAACGTTAATCTTTTGAGCCCGAGAACATTAGGTTTTAAATGGGTCATTACATTTCATGTGTTTAATTTAGTATTGCATTTAATGAGGGATGGATTAGGGCTGAAACGATTAATCGGATTAATCGCAATGAATCGATTATAGAAATTTAGCAATTGATTAATTATTACCTGGTGTATAAACACTCAAAAATAAAGGTTATTTGCTGAATAAACTAAAATATTCACAGCAATAAATAAGTCTAAACTGTGCACTTTTTACATTTAAGATTAAAAAGACTTTTGTCTGTCAATATGTTTTACCCAAATCTCCTGAAGAGCGTTATCTGCTCCAAATTCCCTTATGGAAAGCTATATTATTGAATTCTAGGCAATACAAAGTTTTCTTATTATAAAAGGACCAGAATTTTTGCATCTCTTAAAGTATTTATAATATTGTATAAAAAAAAATTAGAAGGTTCAGTTAAAAATATACAGAATGTACCTATTTTTTTCTTATCGATTAATTAACAGAATAATCAATTCCTAAAGTAATTGCTGTTAATGTCTCAGAGTAATTTCAGGAGTCACCAGTACACACAGAATTAAAATCACTGTATGGAGCAGAACATGAAAAATCACAAGAATCGTTTCTCAGGCAAGTCTGCTGCCTGTTTCAAACAAATGAGGCACTGATTTTAAACGCTAAAATATACATCCCACTGGAAACGATCATCACGATGATTGAATGACAGCCGCATTTCGACGTTCCCCGTAAGATCAAACAGAATCCACAAGAGGTAATCAGTGTTTAGAGGAGGAGAGGCTCATTGAGTCAGTCAGTCAGACAGTCAGAGATCTGGTCAATCAGTCGCTGGGTTCAACGGTCAGGAGCAAGAGGAAGACGGGCTTGATCCGTTTGTAATTGGTTTACAAAGACTCAATAAGAGACCTGAGGTAAAACAGCACTTGAGATGTGATCGCATGCATGCATGCTGAGGCATGCCTGGGCTCTGCAAACCTTTTAAAGCAGAGTTTTAAACACCACGTAATTGTTTATGAGATGATTGCTCATTTCAATTCATGTTTTTAGGAAATCAAGTGCTATTCTGTTCAGATCTGCTTTATTGATGATTAAAAGGGAAAGCACATTATGATTTTGTAGACAAAAAACGCAGAGCACACAACTCAAAATCGGAACAACTTACTTAGTGTTGCAACATTTTTATGAATTATTACCTGTCTTATCACCAGTAGATAATTTTCAATGATACACATGCTTGGAGACCAAACTAAATAAACTCTGTATACGAGTGTGAATTAGTCTAGTCGTGTCATTTTCTTAATTCTATCTTCAAAAACTGAAAATACTCAGCTAGTTTCTACAAGCTAGTTGAAATCAAGTGTAATGGTGTCTAGAGTGACTTCTGAAATGATTTAACTTGAAGAACAGTTATTAAGATTTCTTAAATAGTTCTGTGTAAATTGTGGTTGGCATTACCTTCAGGTGTGACAGGCAGTTCTGCAGGAAGATGTGCCAGTTGTTAAGGAAGAACTGCTTCTGACTCACACATAGCAAGCACGTTACCAAGGGATAAAGAGCCTGGGGAGGAATAAACATTAGATAATGACTTGTTTATTAGGTTTGAAAGATCTCAGTGGGCATGCGGAGCTCTTTATCGTTACCAAAGAGTGCTTCTTTCTGGAACTGAGGTCAAACGTCGTCTGGTAAAGCATCTCCACAAACGTTTTTAGGCACGGCACGTTGACTTCATTTTTCACCGCCTGGAAAACGAGTTAAACGTTCATCTTAACTGAAGACGACAAAAAAAACAAAAAAAAACATTCAACTTTCATGTAAACAGAACAGCGTTGTGAGCGTGACTTACAGCTGCGACAGGAATGAGGATTTCAACAAAAAGACCAGCAAGAGCGTGCTTTACGTCTTTATCCTTGACTTCGAGGAAATACTGGGCACATTCCTAAAGCATAGAGAAAAAAAGAAAAATGGAAGGAATAAATCAGATCTTTGCAAAATACACAAGTGCTTTTTGTAAGCAGGAAACACACAGGTCACGCTAACAACAACACTCCTAAGAGAAGAAGTTGTTACTGAATGAAAAACACTCAGATTTGGCTAATTTAATTATCAGTCAGGTGTCTAAACACAAATGTTAGCAACTATTTGGAAATCATCACTTTGTTTACAAAGTGATGATTGGCAATAAAAGACATTTTATTGCCAACATAAATGAGCTACATTTTCAATTCATCTGGAATGAAGAAAACATAATTTTGGTGTCATTTAAAGTTTCTGAAGAGAAACTGGAATTGGCTAAAACTAATAGACAGATAAAGGCTTCTTAAAGTTAATGATTGAAAATGAGTTTAAAAAATGTCTGACCGGTGCATCTCTAGCCAAACATGACAAAAATACAGTATTTAAATAAGATTTAAATATTATTTCTCATTTTATTTAGGTCATTTGATCCTACAATCGAGTTTGAAAAGACTAAAAATATAAATATAACATGGCTCATAAACCCATCATAAAGTTCACATTGGAGCCAAAGAATGTATGTTTTATGACTTTAAGGAAAACTTTCTCAGCAGCCATATCACCCCTTTTGTTCTCGAAGACATTGAAACACTGTTATCTGTGTAATATTGGCTTGTGAGGAAGTACAAGTCCAAAAACAAAGGATATAGGAAGGAAATAACTAAAATCAACATGATATGTGCTAACATATAACGCTCAACAGGTTGCATTTGGAAAACTTCGACTGTAGCTTTAAGAGCCATGACTGTAGATACGTTGCATCGTTAAAAATAACAGCAGCAGAGGGAAACGAGAAAAAAAAACTAGTGCATGGTATAATTTAGCCACCACCACAAATTTTACCTGCATGAACTGAAAAGAAGCCTCAAAATCCTCCACCGGATACATTTTGACCCGGAAGAACTTCATGCCCATGATGAGACTGATAATGCTCTGCAAGACGTATGGACTCTGCTCCTTTTGCCGCAGCTCCTTCAATTCTGTGATGAATTTTTTCCTCACTGCCTGAAACCTGGACAAACATGGACAAAGACATTTGTCTGTGCTCACTATTCAATACTCCCACCATAAAGAAGAAGTGAGAGATAAAAAAAACAAACAAAAAAAAAACTATATGTGGCCTAAATGTAAACTTCAGGATACTCACTTTGACTGTGTAAGAACTCCTATGACCTCAGCATACAAGTCTGCAATGATGTGCACATTCCCAGTGTTGGGGCCACTGTATCTGTAAAAAATTAAAAAGGTGTGTATTCAAATCTTCAAATTATCACATTACCCCATCCGTCTCTGGAATTACGGGCGCTTACCCCTCTTTGTGTTTAAAGTGCTTGAACGCCAGGTTTAGAACTTCATGTACTAAAACATCCGGCACTGGATGAAGAGGAATCTGTGGCGTAAACATGGCATCATTAGTCTTATTAGAAGCATTGATGGTCCGTCTTCTTTCTCCTCTCAGCCCTTCATTATCCTCCCCCCGCATTAGCAAACGCCAAGGACAACACGGCTCGGGTCTCCAAGGACTGGCATTCTCCTCCGAATGGAGCTTTGATTTGAACAATCTACTTTAGAAACACTCTCGGCTGGAAGTTGGTGCGTCGCCAGCCGCCGCATTTATTATCTCTGTTCCCATGCAGGAAAAAGTCATTGTGGCAACATTAGCGAATTTCTGAGCTGCCGAGCGCAAAGACACCTGGTAAACAATAAATGTCTCAGCTTACAAATTGCTGGCGTGTCAGATCGGTAGAGCCGTGGGGTAAAGTGGGCAAATAAACAGCCGGAGTGGCAAATTAGAAGCAGCGTTTTCTGAAGGAGAATGAGACACATTTCTGAATGTTCTCAGTAAACTGTGATCTGAAACTGCTGTAGTGACAAATATTATTAATACCACAGAGACAACTAACCCACAATAAGAAACAACTACAACATAAAATATAATAGTTAAGAATTTATCTTTGTTTTTTAATTGAAAAGGACATTTGATACCATGTCAGATTGCATCAATTTTTATATGGAACATGACTCCAAATTACTTTGAGCATATCTAAAATGACAATAACAACAACAAAAATCAGCTCTGAGTTAGGAGTGTGTCAATGTTATTTGCCAAATTATTGGCTGGTGTTTACAAGGCAGCTAATCCAGGAGCACCTTTTAAATTTCTCAGCGCTGACTGGTTGTACGTCACAAAGCAACGGAATTAAAGACTGAAAATGTTAGCATCTGTAGTAGCGCCAAGGCAGTTTCCACTGTGTATATTAACGCATATTAAGGTATATGCATTAATACATGCAGTGTATTAATGCAGGAGCCCCACGAATACCAGAGGAATTTGCACAATCAAATTCACAAGCATTCTTACACACTGATAAGTTACACTAATGTGCAGCTTCTATTTATTTTTATCCCAGCTATAGAGAATACGGTAACACTTTATTTGAAGGGGTGTGCATAAGACTGACATTACACTGTCATGAACATGAACGAGTCCTTATGAATGGGTATGACTGGTGTCATGAAGTGTCATTTGGTAAATAATGACACTTTTAATGCAAAGTTGCTTTAAAAGTTGCATTAAAAGTCCATTAAAAGTGCCAACATTGCATGATTTTGTAAATAATGAGAATTTAATGCAACGTTGGCATTTTTAATGGACTTTCAATGCAACTTTTAGAGCAACTTTGCATTAAAAGTGTCATTATTTACCGAGTGACACTTCATGACAACAGTCATAAAGACTTCTTTATGTTTATGACAGGTGTTATGTCAGTCTTATTCACACCCCGTCAAATAAAGTGTTACCGAAAATACTTTACAAATGGTGGATAATATTTCACTGAAGCAACAAAACTGGACTGCTCACCTGTTTTAGAACTTCCACTGAAACTAAACAAAAAATAAAATCTATAGCTAAGTCCCGTCGTTCTAGAAGGTAATCTTTATCCCGGTGCTGTTCATCCCTGCAAACCAGCGACAAATAATTCATTGTACACAAAGTAGCATTTGGTAGACAGTCATTTTGTTCAAGGTGAAAAATGCGAAGGCAAGGAAGAAAAAAGAAGAAGAGGAAAAAGTACAGAAGAAAGGATGCGCTCACCCTTTTGATTTTGTACTAGACCGAGGTCGGTACTCGTAAGACTCATCTTCAGTGCCGCTCTGCCGCCGGTACCAGTCGAATAGTGTGCGCAGGAGGGAGGGTAAACAGTGTTCTGCTATTGAGCTCATAGAGCTTATTAACTAAAAAAAAAAGCACAGATAAAAAAAGATGAAACATCAGAACATTTTTGTAACCAGGGAAATATGCAAACGCTGCCTGAAAAACATTGTCATAGATGCGTCATAGGCTTTTATGGTCCACAGAATTTAAAAAAACACATTGAAAAACAAATAATAATAAAAACTATCGCCACAGTGAAGCACAGCAGCGGCTGCATAATGCTGAGGGGATTCTTTTTTTCCTGAGGTGGAGCTAAGCACAGGGCAACTATGGAAACGGCGTGCTAGAGGCTGCAAAAAGCAGACTGGAAAGTTTGTGAGCCTGCCAGGAAGAGAAAGACTTCCTTAAGCTGAATGGAAGGGAGGGATGCAACGATATGAAAATTTGGGCTGATGTCCATATCTGATATTAATATTGCAGCCAAATATAACATATATTTTACTACCATTTTGACAGCTTGAAAAAAATGTCCATACAGCTGACTTTGATAAATATCACTTGTTAATATTGACCTATTTTTTATTCATCAAAGCGATACCAGTATGTTAAAAAAATAAAATCAGGTGATACCGATGTTGATGTCGATATATCGTGCATCCCTAATGGAACAGTTAAAGCATATTTCTGAATCAAAACAGCCAAGTCAAAGTCCAGACTTGAATCAATTTCACAATCTGCTGCAAAACTTCTAAATTGTTATTTATTGTTAAATAAGGACAGGCAAAATTTTCAGCTTTTACATGTGGTAGAAAGACTCCTGAAAAGACGCAGCTCTATAATGTCCCAGCTCTTCGAAGCTGAATAAAAATCCAAACTGATGTTTTCTGATTTATCTTCCAGAAAAAAAAATAATAATAAAAAAGCCCACATTTTATTTTCATTCCACTTCAGAGTTAACCTCTCTGTGCTGATCTGTGACATTACGTCCCACTGCAGCACATTTAAGTTGATTGCTGCAACATGACAAAATGTGGAAAAAAGGGAGTGAATACTTTTGCTAGAAAAACGAAAAAGAAACATTAGGAAATAAATAACACTTGAACTGAAGTGGTCAGTGCGCTTTAAGTGTTCAGCTAGGATTTTTGTGAGTTTAAAGGGCCGGTACAGTGCGGAGAGGACGGCGCCTGATGGACGATCGGCAGAAGAGTTATGTAATTCCTCCCTCTGCCCTTATGGGGCTGGCCAAATACACTCCAGCACCCAATGCAGATTTACTGCTGAGGATGACACAGCGATTCTACGCACTCACTTTTGGCTCTATATGCTCCCTCTCTCTCTCTCTGTCTCACTCACAATGGGGACAGCTGGATCTATACCATATCCTCGCTGGCTTTGTGTTGTGCTGAACAAAGCATTCAGCAGCAGGCAGGCCTATTGTACAGAGATCTGCAGCAGCTGCAGATGAGGCACAGACAGCCCATTGAGGGGTGGAAGGGGGGGGGGATTGATTGGGAGACTCAAATGCTGCATAGACGTACAGAGGTGAGGAAGTAGCTGTCGGTGAGAGTGTCACATTTATACATCTATACGAGATGTCAGTTCTTTGTGAGGGTTATTATGGGATCAACATTGCTTTGTCCAGAGAGTGCAGGCATTTTAAGACGGTTCCTTCTCTGATCTGACTCATGTAATGACAACAATTACCAGGGGAGGATGTTGGAATGCCAAAAAAAAAAAAAGAAGGCAAAAAGAACAGCGAGTTAGAGGACTAATTAAGCAAACTTTTATAGACACTACAACAACTGGAGCTCTGGAGAATATTGTTGTTCTTTTATAATAGTTTTGTGTTGTAACTGCACTGACCTGATCAAATTGTGCGCCTTCCCCCCTCTGGAGAGATCGGGACAGTGGTTTCTCCTGTTGGAAACACAGAGGGGAATAAGCTTGTTACTAATTTCAGGCTTTGTACAGATTTCCCAGAGTAAAATTCCAGCACTTTTCAAGCATTTTCAAACTTTTTCCACCACCACACTTTGGAGATAAACTAAAGTAATCATAAAATATAACGAAATTTTATGTTTTGAAGAATCTCTCTCACACACACATCTTATACAACTGATTGGTCTGAGAACAAAACAATAATTTAGCAAAAAAAAAAAAAAAAAAAAAAAAAAAACCCCTTACTGCACATTTTTTTAGCTTTTCTT